GCATCGAGCTAGCACAAGAAGTAAATGATGATCAGATGAACACGGACCATACTAGGGATCCCGTCGGTGATGAATTCATCAATCCCAAACGGTTGAATACTAGCAAGCGTTTGCCCACAATACGCACGGCCTATTCCATCACAAATAGGTCGGATGGATCAACTGTATGCCACGTATCGCACATTGTCAAAAAGTAATGCGGTAGACCTTTTTTAACATGTGTTAAAATAAAAAAATAAAAAACAAAGACCTCGAGGTTAAATTAGCTGAGGGAATGGGGCATTTTGGTCATTTGACCGAAATGACCCATCCCATCACCTAATTTAATATCGACACAACTTCCCATCCAGTCACCCATCCGATGGTTGCTCCAGCCTGAGCACACTTAACTTGATAGTTTTCTTACATGCGCTACTGGTGGAACAACTAGTCCTTATTGATAGGAATGCCTCTTCACATTCTTATGGCGTATCCAGATGACCGCTCGTCCCACAATGGCCAATAGATGTTGTGTAGACAGAGCATATCACATACGTCTTATTAGAAGCAATTGTCTACGTTATTATCGGTCTTCGCACACATTTCTGATTACAGACCTGATTGCCATGTATCACACACATCTTGTTATATTGAACTGTTTCTGTTCTCTTACCTAATCACAAACAGTTCATCCGAGTGAACCGTATGTTGTACATCGCACACATCTTGATCGGGTTGTCCGTTTCTTTTGTGTTGCCTAATCACAAACAGTTCATCCGAGTGAACCGTATGTTGTACATCGCACACACCTTCATTTGGCTGCCCGTTTCTTTTGTTCCTCCTCATCACAAACAGTTAATCGAACTGAACCCTATGCCCTTCATCGCACACGCAACTAAAACCTGAACTGTGTTTGATGCATCCGTTATCGCAAACGTTTTATACATTTTCGACGATTTTCCTACACCGCCGTTTGTGATCATTGCATCACACACAGTTTCTCAAAGGGTCTCTGATCGTAGTGTCGCGTTAGTAGCATCCTGTAGTAGTGCTAGCAGCTACTCCTAAAATGGCATTCGGTTATTAGAAAATGTGTCTAGTGTGTAATATAAACTAGATTACACTTTTAGAGGGGGCACCCTGGCACCCATGACACCTCCTAGATCTGCCATGCATTAGGGCATGTGATTGAGATTGAGGTGGACACCATTGCATAAGAAAACATTACAGTGAATATGGGTGTGAGGGACACTTGAATAATCTCCCCCATCCTCACCCCTTCAATAAAATTACCATGAGAGAGCTCCTGATCTCTGACATTGAATTTGAATTTGAATTTGAATTAAAGAGAGTGGTGGAGCAAGGATGGTACCATGGAAACAAAAAGAGGGAGAAGTGATAATAGAGAGAGAGAGAGTAGGGGGGAGGGGTGTTGTTGCTAGTACACAAGGAGATGGGCTGATGAAGAAAGCAAGAAAATATGAGCAAACAAAGAGATAATAACTTTAGGGAGTCTGTCTGTTACACGATATGAGGAAAGAAACAAAAAACTCTACACCGACAACGAGAGTTAGACTGTTGATTTGTCATGGTGATTTTATCCGGTTTATCATGATTAACAAGACAACATTCTTCTTAAAATTTTAAAGCAACATTTTTTTGAAGTACAAACTCTGCAAATGTAAGATGTTTTTATAGTTTAATTCATAATGTAACACGTAGTTACAGACAGTGAAAAGCAATATATTTCTTAATTAAAATCCGTAGGCAAAGCTTTTGTCTTTAAAAAAAAAGGATTGCTAAATCTCAACTTAATGAAGTCTCGGTCGATTTTAGATTCATGAGAATGTGAAGATCCGTGTAAGAAATTTCTTTCTTTGTTATATATTGTGTCATTTAACTAAGATTTGATTAAGTATCAGTGCCACTGAGATCTAGCAACACCCTTAAAAAAATCCTTTTTTAGAGACGGTACCTTCATTATCCGATCAGTGGATACGAGTTAGCCTTTTTGTGAGCAACAACTAGCTTTTTTTGTAGGGAAACGTTTAGATCCGACACGCCGGCCGTGTGACACGCTGGCACTCACAACGTGCTGCAGCCTTGTATTCTGTTCACGCGAACTGTTGCGTGCGAGACGCGTGCGTGGTGGGTTCGTGCGAACCATTTTTTACCTTATCTCTTTCTTTTCCCTCTTTTTTTCCTGTCCACACAACGCCACATCGGGTTTCTTCCACCTCCAGCCCGTGCGCCTGAACTTCTCTCTTCCGTGCTCCACTGCCCTCGTTTTCTTCATCTGCTCAATCCTCAACAACCATCGCCGGGAGGCACGCACACAATCTTCTCTTCTCCGATGAGGATGCTACGAGGATGTTGCATCCGGTTGAGCAAAACGATGCAAACCATCGAATCGAAAAGCTGGAACCAGCGAGTAAAAAAGCTGGAAACATGGGGCTGCGGAGCTACCACGATCAAGATTTGCTGGAACTAGCAACGGCTAGTGCTACAACCGTGCAACACGAATGCTGGAACGGTGGAACCAAGGCGGGAGGGAGCTGCCGTGGTCAAGAATTTTTGCCGGGACGCTGCATTTGATGCGAGCTGGAACCAACAACCGATTTTGCTGGAACCGGCGAAATCCCGAGCTGGAACAGACCATTGAATTTGCTACAGCGACCAGAGTGGGCTCTGCACCGACGAAGTTGGAGCCCTGTTTTGTTGCAACCGGCAATCCAAAAAGCTTCTACCGGCATGTTTTTTTGCTACAACGAAAAAGCTTCATCCAGGGAAGGGAGCTGCAACTGGGGGATGACCAATGGTGCTACAATGGCGAGCGGCGCTGGCGAGGCTTCGAGACGGGAGCCTGCTGCAAGCGGTGGTCTGGTGTGCTGGGGAGTGTGCGGCGGTGACACTGAGAGTTTTGCAGGATTAAGGAGAAAGGCAGAGCGGAGATGGAGGAGGAATAGCGATTCAATTTTTATCCTTTTGCGAGCCCCACATCGGACGGGCAAAAACAATTGTATCGGACGCTAGTGTGGCGACCGGCCGAAACTTGGGCTGCCACGCCGGCGCCTAGCACTCGCCATTTTTGTATGAGGACTGGATGCGAGCTAGCTTTTTTTTTTTTGAGACAAGGATGCGAGCTAGTTTAACCCCAAACGTCCTGGGTCCAGTGGATACACGGGCCCTGAACCTACCCAAACCATATCTGGAACTTGGGTCGGGCCTTGAGCTCGCCACCCGCGAACCCACCTACCCACAGACCATCCAACTCCACGCCCTAACCCTACCCTACCCTACCCTACCCGGATCCCTCTCTGCACCGGCGCCGCTGCCGCTGCCGCTGCGGCCGCATCGCCGACTTCTATCTCCGGCGCCGCTGCCGCTGCCGCTGCCGCTGCCGCCGCATCGCGGGCTTCGATCTCCAGCACTCCCGATTCTGCCCTGATTTGGATTTCTTCACCTGCTCTGCGTTCTCATCTCCGACGGAATTTGAGCTTGCAGGGAGCAGGTAAGCGACGCGATCCCAGTACCCTTTGTTTTCAGTTCCGAATTCCGTAGCTGTCGGCTCTGTTTGCTGCTATGGATGTGTGCTAGTCCTTGTCGACATGTTCCGCTGCTCTGATTTTTTGTTTCTAGTAAGAGAGTTGGGGTATAAGTGGGTGTTAGTTTCAGGGGAAACCGTACCAAATTAAGCG